AAGTTTTAAATATGTTAAAGCCTTAAAACTATAGAGCAAGGTGGACTGTGTTCACAAGCTTATTCCAGCTGGTTGCTGAAGGATACATGTGGGAGGAAGAAAGGAAACAATTTGAAAGAAAGGGCTTGGGTTTTCTATTTTGTTTATGTTTTTTTTTTAGTCATCAACCTCTGGGCCTGCTTGACGGTAACTATGAATAAGTTGTCTCTATATGTAAGAAGACATGTATCAGTGGTTTCTGGTCTCTTCTTAAAGTCTCTTGCTATTACATTGCACTTGCAAAGTTTTTGCTAGGGAGGAGAGAAAGCAGCATACATATAAATTCAGTTGTGAAATTTCGAGGTGGTGGACGTGTGTGATCAGACCCACAGGTAGCTGCGAAGAACATATTTTTCTGATGGGCCCTCTCTGTCTTGAAAAGAGTGCTTAGTTTTCCTGAAGACTTAAATTGTTCATATTTTTCTTTGTAACTACTAGGAAATACTTCCCCAAACTGCAAACTAATCTTTAATTTGCATATGCTTTCTCAACTTTCATTAGTAGGAAGACTAACTCATTTGTTTTATCTCTCTTCAAATAAATGTCATTTAGGGTCTTTGATGCAGTTACTGAATCAAAGCTATGGATTTTCTATAGTAATGATTTTTTATTTTTGTAAGAATACTTGTTTATAGGATATTCTATTACTGAAGTAATTGTCTAGATATGGAATAGGGTCTAATTTTACTATCTTCTATGTCACAAATTATTATAACTTTCACAAATTTTTGTAGGGTTCTGTCTCAATGTTTCTCTGGCTACTGGTCCAGCACACAGCCATATTTTACTCTGTAAACTCAGTGCTCCACTGTCATACAGAGTCAGATTTATATTCTTCAGTTTTACTTACAGGAACCAGCATAGCCTGAGTATGAAATGCTTCCTTAACTGTGGTTGCATTGTCTTCCAGCAACTGTAAAGGGAAATCAAGATCCTCTCTTCATGTCTCTTGATCTTCACCAGACTTGAAGAACCTGTAGTTCTTAGAGCTGGAGCTATGTTTGCTTTGTGTTTCATTTATTTGCTCTTTCTACCCTACCAAGGGTCTTCATGAGGCAGGAACTGTAAAAGACCAGAAATTTGAAACCATTATTTTCATTATAGTTTTCACAAGTGGCTATGATGTCTATGATATGAAGTAATTAAGCGATTAGTAGCCATACTGTTGAGCCAAATGGAGGACCATACATGTTATCTGCTGCAGAAGTATTGAGGGACCTATAGGTATCAGTGAAATTCCACAAAGAGCAATATTGTTAACTCAGTTAAGATATGAGGTAGATGGGTTTGGAGACAATGTCACCTTATTTATTGCTCGTTTCATCTCGTTTCCCCAGCCTGTATTATGCCCATTCTCAGTTATATCTATAGGAGTAATTACCTGTTAAAAGACAAAAAATAAATCAATTTACATGTGATATGTTCATAAAAAGGAAAGGAAGTCCAGATTACCTCGTAGAAATTTAGAATAAATATATCCCAGAAGCATTTAGCAACCAAAGAATGTTGAGTGAAAGTTAAGCTTCATAGTTTTTAGTTTTATGTGTTTCACCGATTATAGATTTGTATAAGTTTCTAACATTTTCTTAAGTATTTTAACTTAGTTCGCAAAATAAATTAAGGTAACTCTTCATAATGTATATTTATAGCCCAAACTCTTCCCCTAGAAGTCTCCTTTTATCTTAACATGTCCGAAGTAGCCTGCTCTCATTAACTTAGCGGTTCTGTTCTCAGTATGGACATACCGTGATTTTTACAAGAGGCAAAGTTATCTCACAAAATCAAAGAGAATAGCAGTTTTAAATTAATCAGTTACAGCTAGGTTATTCTGCAAGTGGGGAAGCTTCCCCATTCATTGTATGTCAGTGGAATAAGAAAATGAAATGATTGTGACATTTCTTAATCAAGATCTAGAGGACAAAAATGCCTTCTGTTTAGGCACAGATCAGAATTCTAAGCTGTCACTTCAGTTTGTGGCAGGTTTGCTTTACATCCTTGGGCAAATCTCTAGATCTATGTTGTTCTTCAATTCCTTAGTCATTAAATGGAAATAATAATTCCTCCCTTTCTCAAAAGAGTGTTTTTGGAGATAAAATCTGTTAATGACTGAGAACCTCAGGTATTATGATATCAAGGGTTGTGTAAAGATCGCTGTAAAAGGCAACCTGAGGGCTTTCTTTATCCCCACAAATGCGTAGAATCTACCCTGTGTCAAGAGTCCCCTAAACATGTATTTTCCAGGCATGAGCTACATGAAGTCTTATTTCTCTCATCCAGGCCTTCCTTCTATGATAAGATACAAGAAAGAACCTTCACAGCATTTATTATGATGCTCATTTATGAAAATGTGTATATTTGAATTTAAGATTTTTAGGCACAAAGATTAAAGGCAGACATACTAAAGACTTGCCCGATTTAATTTAGAGGGAGCTGTGGGTGCTCAGCACCTCTCTGATAATGAAGAACTGGTTGTTTACTTGTTCCATTATACTCCTTTCACCATCTATCTAATCCTATCACATAATTGTCTACAGAAAATACTCAGACCCTTGGTTTCTTTACTGTTTTGTATAACTGGGGATAGTGTCACCATGCAGTGAAAAGAACCATAGAATGCTGTTTTTCAAAGGCATATGCTCAAATTTGCAAAACGTTTTCTCACTGGATCAGGAATTAATAGTAAGATTATTCTGCCTGTTTGTTTTCCTATTTATGGATAGTTGCTATTTGGGTTATATAGTGATGATAGCTTTGGGATTATGTGAAATATTATGCAGCTGCGTTAGTGAAAGAAACATATATGTGTCCTGCTGCAATATACAGATTTTTGGCCATATGTCCAGATCAGTAAGATAAGGAAACTACTAAAGCAACCAGACTTTTGTTAACTAATTTCACAGATTGTCTTTGGACAATAGCAAGGTGGAACAGAAATTAAAGATACCTATTTATATAACTGGAAATAAAACCTGGTATAATTAGTGTCAGTTTTCAAGTATTAATGATGATGAGCTGACATGACTGTTTTCATAAAAGAAAAGCATTTTTTTCCCCCAAATTTGAGTGCAAATTAACCTTTCCTATTACCCTCTTTGTTAATACATCTTATTTACCGCAAAGGTGTTATATATCAGTTAGCCAGCATGTCTTTAATTCTGTGATTTAAAAAAAATATTAGTGGAAGTTAAAGTAAATGCCTCTAGAGAGTTTAGAAATGAGAAATTTCAGCTTTATGTTGGATGATACAGCTTCTGCAATTATTATTTCCATCTTTGCTTGTAAAAATGCCTTAAATTAAAACAAAAGTGTTTGCCTTTCAGTTTAATTTTTTGACTTGGGAAGTTGCAAGTAGTTTGTGCCTTCCTTTCCTGATGGAGGTCTCTTTAGCAGTAGAGGTAGCAAACAGAATGTTGCAAGTCACATTGTTATGTTTGATGGACTTGCTTTCTCTGATCATAGCTTCAGTCTTAAGTGTGTCAATCCTTGAATACCAGTGGAAGTCAGGTTGTTTTTAACCGGAATTTCTCCAGCAATATCTGTCTCAGGGAATAAGTGTGCATGTGCTTGTCTTAACCACAGCCCCACTTAATGAATTGACTATTACTTATGCAGTTTTATGTGGTGTCATTTAGCTTCTGTATTTCCTTTTACTGTCTATTTGACAGAAAATGTCCTTTTTTCATTGGTATAAGAGAGAAAGAACTCGATATGTCACCTGCATATCAAGATACATTGAATTTTTAATCTAGTCATGGCCAATAAAATAATTTTCTGAAAATAATTACTGTGGACTCTCCTAACTGTGTCTGAATTCTCATTTTTTGTTACGTAAGGGCGTATATTTTAAGTGTTTATGAACAACTGAATTAGAAAAAAAAATGAAATGGACAGTTGTTAATTGACTAGCTCTTTATTTAGATTTCTTGTGCTTTGTCATACAAGACCATGAAGTAGAGTCAGTTTTTGTTAGAATTGTGGTGTTGTGTAATGGAGCAAAAGATGATCACCTGAGCTTAAGGAAAGTATTTATCAGAAGAGAAAAGATCATCTAACTTAAGGGAAAATATTTTAAAGAAGGAATCCTGGCATATAGAATCATTTTTCACACAGAAGCTGGTACTCCCACATGTTGTTTTCTTTTACAGCTGAGTCTGAGCTTTCTGTTGGAAAAGTTGGGCTGGTATTTTTGCTGTATGGTATCTTTGACTGACAGTTCAGAAATGCCTCCACTTGTCATTTAGAGGCAGCAGAATCCATTTGTGAGGATACTAGACCTTCTGTCAGTAAGAAATAATATTGTAACTTCACTATTACTTTTTTTTTTAAAACAAATGTGGCCGATTTCCATTGCAGAGTAAGTGCCAGCTTAGGGTAATGTTTCAGTCTTTTTCAAACAATAAGTATCTGTGGTAGCTGCAGTAGTCAGTGCATGGAAAAGGCAGGGTGAAAGTGCCTTTGCTCCTTGCTATATGGAGCCGTTTTTATCCATTTGCAGGAAAGGATGATAGGGGCTTTGCACATGTTTCTCTAACTTACATACTATTATCTAAATACAGATAGCCCATGCAAGATAGTAAAGAGGGAGTATATGTCTCTTCACTCTATTGAACTGGGAATGATACAGGTTATAGTAAATGACAGTACTCCAAAAAACTTAACATTCTAAACCACAAGCACCTACAAATAATAATTGTGTAGAGCTCTGAAGGAAAGCATAGGGGGAAGCAAAGAACTGAGCCTGGGTTGCAAAGGGGGTGTCTGCACCAGCATTTCAAGTTTAAGTGTTCACTTTTGAAGAGGACAGTCTTGGAGCATGCAAACTGAATTCCTTTTTGATGAATCTAAACCAAAAGATGCATTCCAGGAGTACAGTCTTGATGTATCTACATTACTGTTCGAGTTGGAATTAGAAGTTAACTTTTGAAATTAATTTTTCATTTGTCCCAGCTCACCTGTCGCACTCTTGGCGTGCACATCCTTTCAGATGAAATTAGACCAAAAGCTGTGCTACAGCAGCATGATGATGGATTACCTGTTCATTGAACCAGCCTACAACTACTGTCAGGTAAACTGCAAAATGCATGCTGAGTGGACATCAAGTTTTCAACACTGACTTTTTTTGGCCTCCAGATGTGCTCTGCTGCTCCGAATTTCTTGCTAATGTGGACATACCCGTAATGCACTCTAGCCGCTAATGAACAGCCAATCTACAGGACCAAATTAAAGTTAGTATAAAATAAAACCCTGGAAGTGCATGTGGTATGTACTTTGTGTCCTCAGCACTTTATCTTTTCGTGTTGTGGGCCAAGGCCAAGCCCATCAGCAACGGTTGTAGCACCTCTGTACTAAATCAGTCCAGATGTGTAAAAAAGTCAGCGTACATTTCTAGCAGTGATCTTCTTTCCAGGATAAAAGTTGGAAGAACCACCTTTATTATATCCATTCCTAGTCTAACTTGTGACGATAGATGCATGATACGGTCTTACGTTCTTCCTCTGATTCTCCTTCTCCATCATCATCTCGATCACCCAGAGGACCAAAGAGATCAGCATTGTCCCCTTAGACATGGACAAACTGAGGGACTCTTGTGGTATCCAGATATTTCAGTACTTCCTGCAGTGCTGTGGGTCAGGACTGTGGCAGACCCTGAAGAGTCCGTACATTGCTTTGGGGAAGAACTGCTCTGACAGTACACATCAGCATCATAGAACCCATCTTCACTGCTTGAGAAAAAATCTGGGACTGTGTTTGGAGGAAGATTGACATGGCTCGGAGAAGTGAGACTGCGGCTAGCTGCTGATTTCCCACTTCTTGTCCTGTTTGGTGTCAGAGTCTCATCTCTAAGCGGTGCCACTACAGGTCCCACTGGCAAAGATGAGAGTCGCTGCTCTGACTTGCACAACTGAGTGGATTCTGGAGGTATAACCCGCCTGGGAAGGCATTGTGTTGCTCACTGACTGTTCAAAGGACTGGGCTGATATACTATGTCAACAGGGTTTATAGTACTTTTAGTAATCTGTAGCAACACAATGCAGTGGGATTAATCCACCCCTCCCCCAAGTCCATTTTGGAGCCTGAACAGGGACATGAATTTGAAATAAGGATAGTAACTGGGAGAGGTAGTGAGCAAAACATGGACTGAACATTGCTAGAGAGCAGAGTGGAATGATTGTGGGGAATTTCAGTTGTTGTAATTGTGGAAGGGATGAGGGGTGGATTGTGTGTAAACTATCCATTTTTGTTGGCATCATAATGTTATTTTGATTTTGTTGAGGGGAATTATTTTTGTGATGTAAGTGAAGTTTTTGATGAGTGTGTATTTTAATGATAATTTTTAAATATGTGATTCATAGAGGCAAGGGGTGGAATGTATTAGTTTTGTGTGGCAAGGTTTTGGTAGCTGGGGGCTGCAGGGGTGTCTCTGTGAGAAGCTGCCAGAAGCTTCCCTGTGTCTGACAGAGCCGATGCCAGCCGGCTCCAGGATGGACCCGCTGCTGGCCAAGGCCGAGCTCATCAGCGATGGGGGTAACACCTCTGGGATAACGTATTTAAGAGGGAAAAACCAGCTGTGGAACAGTAACTGGGAGAGAGGAGTGAGAATATGTGAGTGAAACAGCCCTGCAGAGCCCAAGTGAGTGCAGGAGGAGGGGCAGGAGGTGCTCCAGGCCCGGGGCAGAGGTTCCCCTGCAGCCCGTGGGGCAGCCCGTGGGGAGGCAGCTGTGCCCTGCGCCCAGGGAGCTCCACGGGGGAGCAGACACCCACCCGGGACCCCACGGCGGAGCAGGGGGATGAGCCTGAAGGGGGCTGTGACCCCGTGGAGAGCCCACGCTGGAGCAGGCTCCTGGCAGGAGCTGTGGCCCCGTAGAGAGAGGAGCCCACGCTGGAGCAGGTTTGCTGGCAGCACTTGTGACCCCGTGGGGGACCCACGCTGGAGCAGCCTGTGCCTGAAGGGCTGCAGCCCCTGGGAGGGACCCACAATGAGGCAGTTCCTGGAGGACTGTCTCCCATGGGGGGACCCCACTCTGAAGCAGGGGAAGAGTGTGAGGAGGAAGGAGCAGCAGAGACAACATGTGATGAACTGACTGCAACCCCCATTCCCCATCCCCCTGCATTGCTTGTGGGGAGGAGGTTGAGAAATTGGGAGTGAAGTTGAGCCCAGGAAGAAGGGAGAGGTAGATGGAAGGTGTGATTCAGATTTGGTTTTATTTCTCATTACTCTGATTTGATTGGTAATAAATTAATTTCCCTGAATCAAGTCTCTTTTGCCCACGACAGTAATTGCTGAGTGATCTCTCCCTGTCCTTATCTCAGCCCAGGAGCTTTTTGCTGTATCTTCTCTCCCCTGTCCAGCCGAGGATGGGAGTGAGAGAGTGGCTTGGTGGGCACCTGACTCCATCCAAGATCAACCCACCATGTTCTATAAGAAATATTTGAAGAATATAAGTGATCTTCGCAATCTATCCATTTCCTGACATAGTAGGCAACCCCTCTGTCTTTGCCTGTCCCTTCTGAACAGCCTGTAGCCATTGATACCACACTCCAGTCACAGGATTTGTCCCACCAGGTCTCAGTAATGGCAGTAAAGTCATGGCTTTCTAGCAGCACAGTTTGTTACCCATGCTGCGTGCATTGCTGTAGAGGTGCTTCATCTGGGCAGTTGGCCATGTCACCTTCTTAGAGGAACACACCTTAATTCCTTTGAGGTATTTCACTGGTGTTCCCCTTTGCTTTGGTTCCCTCAAGAGCCCCTGGCTCATCTCTGTAAGTCTTCAAGTGTGCTCCAGTGTACCCAGAAAGTCTCAGAGCAACAGGCTGGGGGCCCTCACTAGCACCCTGTCCCTCTAACTTTGGAGTATGGTCCCTTGTTTTGTCATGGGCAGGCCTAATATTATCCCCTTAAAGCTCTGTCAGTGACCCACACTCGCTCATGAGCAAAGACCCTCTTCCCTCTTTGAGAAAGCTGAATGTCATCTGGTGCCAGGAGGCCTGGTGCCGTGTAGAACATTCCATTATCAGAAACCCATAAATTGTGGTGGTGACACTAGGCACGGAGCCATGTATTAATAGACTGGGTCTATCTGTTTCAATATTGCTGCCCACAACTAGAAGGATAGAGGAAAAAATTGCCTGTGTTCTGGATTCCCTTACTAACTGTCCCAAGTCTCTTTTGATTGCCCTTGGACTATGAGTTGCGACCCACATGGAAGAGCAGTAATGAGTAGTAGTCTGAGGGCTGTGCGGGGCTAGGAGGCTCCCTAGTGATGTCCTTAACCTGGGCCCCAGGGGGGGCTCCAGGCTACCCTAAGAGGAGGGTCTCTCCAGCACATTGGGCCCTCTGTTCCCCTCAGCAGGGAGTCACCTACAGCTATAACCCATGTCTTCTTCCTGTGGAGGTGGTTGTGATACAGGGGTAGGCCCTTCTGACCTTGGCGACTCCTCTGGTGGAGATGGACTGTCACCAGCATCATCTGTTGCCTGGCCTTCCACACGCAGAGCCTCAGACCTGTTGTACAGAGGCACCAGGAGGGCGTTCGCCTGCCGCCCGGGGCCTGGACTTGCCTCCATTCACTCCTTTCCTTCAAGCTCCTGCCTTCCTGGCGGGGCAGGGTACGGGGTCCCCTCGACCTTGGGTTACTTCTGGTGCCTGTTCTGCCTCGGGGAGGGCAGAGCAAGGTTCCACCACTCTGCCTCTTTCTCAGACTCCCTGATGCCCCTTAACCTTTCTCGTGCCTCTCGTAGCTCTGCCACCAGGCTGAGCAGGTGACCCGCCTGGTCATGGCTCACACGGCCGTTCTCCTGGGGCCGTCGCCTCCCAGGGACGGGGCACGGCCTGCAGCCTGAGGCCCGGGGCTGCGTGTGTCCGTGGAGCCGGACGGGGCTGCCGCATCCACGCTGCGGAGTGCAGAGGACGTGGCTTTCCGCCGGCGGATCCCACAGCAGAGCTCCTGCTGGGAGGGTGATGGCCACCGACTGAACTCGCCTCTGAGCTGGTGGGGTGACGACGCCGTTCCCGCGCAAAGGGCCGCGCCGCGTTCCGTGCGGGGTGCCGTGGCAGCGGTTGCCCCGGCAACGCCCGGGTACCGCCGGCGTCTCTCGCGAGAGCTGCCCGGCCGCGGGACCGCGGGTGCGGGGCTCTAACCTGCAGGTAAGTCACGGCTCCCGCCGCGTGTGTACGGCGGGTATAGCTTCTGTACAGGAGATATCCAATTACCGCTGATGTCTAGCGGGACGATACAGGCATTTTTAGAAAACGCGTGCTAAATATGCTGTTGTACTGCTTAAAGTCATTAGCGGTGGTTGGTTGTTTTTTTGTTAATATAAACTATATTAGTTTTGTTTAACTATTGCAAAGTGAAGCAATGTTCAGTGGAAAATAAGGTGTGTTGGTGCCTGTCACAAAGTTGGTGCTTTTGAACTCCTTGACACGTTTCAAAAGGTGAGATGAGATGGAGTATTTGCTTATAGGCCCAAGTATGGGCCAAAACGTAGCCTTACCAGTTCAGAAGGAGCTCAGAAAGAAATGATGACTCAGAGACAGTCCTCTGAATCACACTTCCCCTGAGCTGTAGCATTGCACAAGCGAGGAGTAAGCTGTCAGCCCTTTGCCAGCTGAAGCATATTCCCTCACTCATGTCCAGTCAGCTCTCCCTTGATGACACAGAAGGGAGCAAAGTGACGACTATGTTTACTTCTGACCCAATTTCTCCCAACTTCTCCACTTGCTCATGGAAGGAAATAATGTCTCTTAAAGGTCTGCTCATTAATCTAGTGCCCTTAGCATAGCTTTCAGGAAGGATGGCGTGATGACACAGTAGAATGCAAGAATACCTTACGTCTTCCATACAGAGCTTTATGACCATCAGATGCCTGGTGTATTATGTTTTACTGCTCATTCCTAGGTAGGTGGGACGCTGTACTTGTCAGGTCTGAAACCAATGCTTGTTCCTTGGCATTCACTTTTCATCCTATAGGAAGCGAATCTGTCACAGTGAGAAGAATGCATCAGCAACAGATACATGGCTTGCAAAGTACTGTCTGAGTCTGATTCCAGGCAGATTTGGCAAG